GTCCTCTGCTGGTCCTCTCTCCGCTGCGTCCAGAAACAGCAGGGTGTCGTGTTTATTTATTCAACTCGGTGGGAACACGGTGTCTCGGTGTGCTGACCGCTGCCTCCAGCCGGGGCGCACGCGTGCCCCCGGGGGGACCTGGGCTTGGCGGAGCCTCGTCAGGCGCAGGCCTCAGAGCTCAGCGGCTCTTTGTTTGGAAGCTCAGGGGCCTGAGACTTGCGCTGGGCTGGGGGTCTCGGGACCTCCCTGTTCCTGGTGGTGCTGGAGCCGGGGCCGGCCTAGGAGCCAGGGGTGAAATAAAGCTGCTGTTTGGAGCTGCCTGGAAGTCACTCTTCCCCCTGTTCTCCCTGCGGCTTCCTCAGCTCTCTTCTCCCTCGTGGTTGTGTTCTCCCTGCGGAAGCCTCCAGCAGGGCTTTGCACAGAGTCGTAATTCATTTATTCATTCATCAAATATTTAGTGCGGATCTCTGTGAGACCCCGGCAAGGCCCAGGGCACAAACTCGGTAACACAGGACACTACCCTTGTGCTTGGCCAGCGGCCAGCACTCTCGGAACCCCGCTGCAAGCGTTCAGACTCCACAAGGAAGGTGAGGTGCGGAGCCCCACTCAGCGCGGGGCCCTGGGGCAGGGGGCCTGGTCCCCACAGAAACACAGGGTCTTGGACGAACAACCGAGCCTGCCTCGTCCGAGGGCAGAGCCAGCCGTGGACAACCCTGTTGTCCCTTCCGCCCGCGACCGCTTCACGCGCCACCCCGAGGGACATGTTGTCAGGCCCTGGGCCTCCCAGAGTCGTCTTGTTGGCTCCGGAAGCTTTCACGTGTCTTCTCTCCCGTGGTCCTTGACGGGAGCCCAGAGGCCCCTCTCCTCGTCTGCGCATCGTCCACCGGCTGCTCTAAGAGCAGTTATTGGGACAGTCCAGCTCGGGGCCGAGGTTCGGGGTCAGCCGCAGCCCACCACGGGGCAGCTGCCCAGCGGCTGGGCCTGCTCAGACAGCGGGCCCCGGGGGAGGCGGGCAGGCCTCTGCTGCGGCAGGAATTCCTACCACTGTGGAAAGCCGGGTCCTGCCCTCCCGGCGGGCCCCTCCCCGTCAAGGATTCGGCTGGCCCCGGCCCTCCTGCCACTTCAGAACCCCTCAGCTGGAGCTCCGGGATTGTTATTCTTTCCCATTTAAGGACATTCCATTTCATGTGTAATTAAATGTGTGGTATTGAATTAATGTTTTCTTCTGAGCATTTTTGGCAGCCTGAGACCCTCGGGTCTGGCCAGTGCAAAGAAAGCACACACACTCCTCCGGGCGCCTCCGAGCGCCTCCTGTCCTTCCCCCCACTTCCTGCGAGAACCTCCCTCTCCTTCCCGCTCACTGTCAACCCCAGGACTCCCCTCCTCATGCCAGTACGCTGAGTCTGCAGAGCCCCTCTGTTCTTCTGGGGGGTTGGGGCCTTGGATTCTGCCCCCTGGCGCCCTGTCGTCTGCGGAAGGTGCCTTGCGGCTCCGCAGTGAGGGCCAGGGTGGTGAGCGGGGGCGCGCTGGGGCCTTGCAGATGGAGTGGTTCGCCCAGCCATGGCGGCCAGTGTCCCCGGGGAGCAGGGCTTACAAGGCCCGGGGAGAGTCACGCTGAGGGACCGCAGGGACACAGCCCCCCAACAGCTGGTGATCGTGGTTAAGTCACAACAGAGACATGTTCTGGGACACAGGACCTCAGGGTCCTGTGGGGAGCACGGCAGAGGACTGCCCGCACCCGGGTGGACAGGCCCACTGCCCGAGGTGTCCGCAGGACCACCGTCCCACGCCTGCTCTGCCCTTGACTCAACGTCACTGTTAAGTGGCTTGACGCCCTTGAACTTCATCTTCCTCCTCACCGGCGCGGTAGGTGGCTGTGGAGTCCATTGTTGGAAAGGGCGTGGGGCTACGGGGGGTCCTGACAAGCTAAGACGAGGCATCAGGAGGTACTTGATGGCGGCAGGATCCCTGGGTCTCAGCAAGAAGACCGGGGCTCAGGGGAGCAGCGTGGCCAGGGGAGCAGCGAAGGCAGGGAGGTGGGAGAGGCAGCAGGGGCAGAGGCCGGGAGGGCAGCTCGGAGACCCGTCGGGCAGCCTGCAGGGAGGGGCCCACTCAGGGCTGCCCACCGGACGGCCTCCCGGGACAGTCATCAGCCGGACCACCCCGGGATCAGCGAATGTCTGTCAGCGCAGTCTGGGTCTCGCTGAGGGCGCTCTGGCTTGGGGGGCGCGGCGGGGCTGGCTTTGCTGCCTGACATACATATTCAGCACCGCCGGGCCTGGGAAATCTGTCTCCTCGGCCGATCGATGGCTGTCCTGAGTAGATGGCCGTCTCTGCCTCTGATGTCTTCATTCCTCCTCTGACCGGCCTCCCCTGCACGCTGTGTTGGGCTCGGGGGGAGGAGGCTGGGCATCCCGGTGGCTTGGACGGGGCCGCTGGCTCCCCAGCAGCCGCACGCCGTTCTATTTCAGAAGCAAAGCGCCCTCCTCCTCCAGCTTCTCCCCCAGCCGCTGTCGTTGGCAGGTAGACTGGGCGCAGGTAAGACGAACAGCTGGTAGGAAGGAAGGAGGTGGACTTTCCTTACATGTCCATGGTGGTTCAGGTATTTCCTGGGATCTCCATTATCTGACAATGTTGGGTGAGCCAGGCCACGCCCAGGCCAAGCCACGTCGCCAGTCCAGGAGCCAGAGCCGGGCCGGGAGGGCCCCCGAGCGGCAGGGTCGGCGCGCACAGACTTGGGCTTCTCCGAGTCCTTGCTCTTCTGGCAACACCGTATTTTGTGGGGTTCATGCTTTCCCTTCATCCCCGGTCAGCGGCCCCCGCTCTCCCGGCACAGGGAGGGAAGCCGACAGGTGTCACTGTGTCCCCGGCCACGCCGTCTGTCCGTGCCGGTCCCAGAAGCCTTTGTTTCTAGGACGAGGCGGCTGGGAACTGGGGCCAGACGAGGAGGCCGCCTGCCCGCTGACCACTGTGGGCTCTCGCTCTTCGCAGCCCCCTGGAGGAGGGGTTCGGCTCCGAGTCAGGCCTGATCCCACCGACTTCTGAGCCCAGAAGTAACCCCACACGCCTAGACCCGCTCTCTGGGCCCCAGCTGGGAGGACCCCTCCCAGGCAGTCACCGCCATGTCCTCGGCCTCTGTGTCCGATGCGCTTGCCCGGGGGACGCAGCTCTCCAGATTGCTGCCCGGTGGGACCAACCTGGGGGCTCTCCCCCGAGCAGGAGCTGGGCAGAGCCCGGCTGCAGGGGGCAGGAGTCTTTGATTCCCAGAGACCCTCCGCCCGCGCAGGGCCCTGTCTCCCGGCGCCCCTGCCTCCCTGGGCCGGGCGCTTCTGCCCACTCCCCGTGTCGGAGCCGGTGACCCGGGCTCTGCCGGGCCAGCCGGGCAGGCAGTAAATGAGATGGATGCCCTCCCCTTCTGGGGAATCCATCACTCGCTGGCGTGTGGGTCAGACGGCCTCACCAGAGCCCGCCCTGAGCAGCCTGTGGGAGCTAAAAATAAGCACAAGCAGGGCCCGATGGACGCGAGGCTCGGCGTTTCCCAGGCCTGAGCAGGCCCTTCTCCTACTGCCCCAGAGCCCGGGGTGGGGTCCTCCCTTCCTCGGGCCCCAGCACAGCAGGACAGCAGAAAGGAGGGGCTGAGTGGGGGGTGTCTCTGGCCTGGGCCTCGGTGGCCACCCACTCGGGGGGGGGTGGGGACGGCAGCCTCCTGCCTCCTGTCGTGGAAGGGGCCGTAGGCCACGAGAGATGCTGAGGCCTCCCTTGGCATCTTTTAGCTCTGTGACCTTGGGGGGGCTGGCCTGCCTCGGGGTGCTCCTCCACCTCTTGGGTGCTTGGAATGGGATGTGGAGTCACCAGGAGGCCGAGGCGCCCCGACTCCCTTCACCTGCTTCTTTCCAACTGGAGGCAGCAGGTCAGGGGTGTGCTGGGTCTTCGGGGGGACCCCGAGGAAGCCTGTGGCTAGATCCAGCCCCTTCTTGCAGAAGCTGCCTGTTCCCTTGGGGAGCGACCTGGCTGGGGGGAGCTGTCTCCTGGGGCGGTGCTGGGGGAGGCGTCTGCTTCGTCTCCCTGTGCTCCCCTCACCATCTTGGTCAGTTGGCTTCAGCCTGTCGCTGACCTTGCGGCTCTCGGGCTCCTCCGGAGGGGCCAGGCCGGCCAACGGGCACAGGACAACCCGCAGGAGATGGTGGCTGCGTGTGGCTCTCGGGGTCTCCTTGCATTCTCTCTCTGAGGAGAGGGACCTCTCAGGTAGATGGTCCCCAAACATTTTTAGCTGCCCTTTAGTGCATAATCCCCGTCACAAGCCGACACTGTGCCAGGGGCAGAGGCCATCTACCGGGACAGAGCCCGCGTGTGTGTGAGTGTGTGTGAGTGTGAGTGTGTGTGTGTGTGCGTGTGTGTGCGCGCGCGCGTGCATTGTGATTTCCTTGTGTGTCTTTTTGGTTTGTCCCCAACCTTGGGCCGTGCTTTTCATAGGAATGACCCCCTTTGTCTCCACCAGAGCGCAGCTAGTCAGGGGTTGTGGTTGCTCCTATTTTGCAGACGAGGACACGGAGGGCCTGGGGTGCACTAACTCTCTGAAACTCAAAACCTAGCAAGGAGGTGGAGCTGGGGTTCAAGCCCCACCTTGAGAACTGAGAAGCCTCGCTCTGTGCGAGGACCGTAGCCTGGGGACAGGGGCTCCTCACGCCCATGGTGGCATCTGCGCTCAGCCCCGGTCCCCGGGGCCGGGCACGGTGACTGCTGAGCCCGGGCCCTCCCAGCATCCCGGAAGCTGCGCTGTCACTGCCGCGGACCCCGCGCTCAGGCCGGGAAGCCCGTGTGGGCGGGCAGGCCAGGGGGGCAGAGCAGAGGTCCGGCTTCCCCCCTGGTCAGACTCTCACGCCCAGCGCGGGCCCCGGCTCTCCCTGCTGTGGCCTCGGGCAGAACTCCCGCCGAGACCCCGGGCTCTCGGCCGGGAGGCCCGGCGTGGGCTGACCTGGCCGCCCCCTGTCTGCCCGCAGATGTGCAGCACATCAAGAGGAGGGACATCGTGCTGAAGCGAGAGCTGGGCGAGGGCGCCTTCGGGAAGGTCTTCCTGGCTGAGTGCTACAACCTCAGCCCCACCAAGGACAAGATGCTTGTGGCTGTGAAGGTAACTCCGGGCCCGGTGGCCCCAGAGGGGTGGCTGGGGCTGGATAGAGGGAGGGACAGGCTGCTCCCTGGGGAGATGGTGCCCACTGGCTTTGTCAGCTGCCGCTGGGCCCTGGCTCTGAGGTCAAAGACGTGTCCTCTGGACCGCAACCGTTTCCCCTGGCTTCTGAGGTGGAGAGCTGCAGCACCTCAGGGTGCCTGGGGGTAGCTGCAGGAGCAGGTTAAGCTTGTAAAAAGAGCCCAGTTTATTCTGGAGGCCCCAGCAGGCCTGCCCCGCTCCTCAATGACTTTGGGGTCCCGTGGTCCCTTCCTGGGAAGTCACTAGATCATTTTCCAACAGCAGAGGTGGGGGTGGGTGGCTTGTGGGCTGCAGATATCACTGCGAAGAGAAGGGAGCGGGTGGGCAGCTCCGAGGGCAGGGAGGGCTGTGGATGAACTTGGAAGAAATTCTCAAAGCCCCCTCCGGCCCGGCGATCCAGGTTCTGACCCTCAGGGGCAGCATGCCCAGGACCACTGCTGGCAGCTGCGTGCCCGGCCACTGACCACAGGTCTTGGTGTGGCTGGGCCAGCTGTGCAGCTTTGCAGCTGGGCTGACCTGCCTGGGGAAGGCACTTGGCCCCCGCGGTCACCTCCCACCCCCTCGGGCCGGCTGTGAGGGTATATCACAGTGGGCGAATCTTGGAATGTGACTGGCATAAACAAGTCAAAAGAAGTCAGGACACCTCCCGAGAGCCCCTGGGGGCTAGGGAGCCCTGGCCTGGAGGGCGGCGGGGTGAGGTCTCCGTGGGTGATTCTCTCCTTCTGAGGTGTGCTGGGCAGCGAGCACTCTCTCGGCTTCCAGTGTACACTGATGACCCCATGTTTGTGCCTTCTGCGAGTGTGAGTTCTCTACCATGTCCTGCAGACCCTGCTCCCCAAGAGGACTCTCCCCCGGACCCCGAAAAGTCCCATCGTTCACACTGAGGGCTCTAACCAAACTGCCCCTGCTACAGCACTTTGGGGGACCTTGTATTCATAGCATGGTGTGTCTGCAACTGTGGGAGGCCATAGAGGCCAGGGGACCCCCAGGCGTCCCAGCAGTGCTGTGTGGGCCCCGGGCATCGTGGGGAACCAAAGCCTGGGTGGCTGTCCTCGTCCCTCCGCTGGTTAGCTGTGTGGCCTTGAGCAAGATGCTTAACCTCTCTGGGCCTCAGTTTCCTTCCGTGTAATAGGAATTCTAATAGCCCCTCTTTAGAGTCCCGGTGATTACATCACATAACATGTGAAGCCCCGCGTGTGCTGGTTGGGACATAGTAAGTGCTCAGTGCAGAGTCAGTCCTTGCTCTTTGTCTTCTATCATCATCATCATCTCGATGTCCATGTGATTGAAAGTGGTTACACACAGCACGCTTGACCTCTGGCACTGACCGCCTAGAACAGAGATGACTGCACTCACCAAAGGGCCAGAGGATAAACATTTGTGCTTTGGGGGGCACTGGTTCTCCATGAGAACCCCTGAACTCTGCCTGGGTAGTGGGAAAGCAACATACACAGCTCGTAAACTAATGAGGGTGACTACTTTCCTTTTTTTTTTTAATAAAAATAACCATTGACTGCTGACCTCTACTCTTGAAAATAAATAAGGAACTCAATCACTGCCCCATAAAAGGCTAACGATCCTGACAGCTGCTAATAAACTAACTCGTGTGTGTCCACAGTAGCCGATGGTCGGAGGAGTGAAGTGGCACTAAACAGTCAGGACCAGGGATGTGGAAAGGTTTCTAATTTTGTCTAAACCCAGACTTGGCCCATCCCTGAAACATGATTTACAGGATGACACTGATCCTCTATGGGGGGTGGGGAGCGGGTTCCAGCACCCTTGGGGGCTGGGGGATGGGCCAAAACTCTGGGAGACGCCCCCACTGCATGGTCTGGTGGTGAGGGCCCCTTCCAGAGTGGATAATGCAAAACATGTTTTCTGTGGGCTTGCGGACAACCCATTCAAGTGTAACCCACAATTAGGGCTTCCCAAAATTGTGACTTTAAATTAATTGCCAAGAATTTTTTGATCACCAGTTGTTATGAAAAACAAAAAGCAGAAATGACAGCCTTGGTTTTGAAGACACTTGTATTCCGTTGGGGAGACAAGAGGAGGCCCATGAAAGAAACAAGAGCAGGACAGGTTGTGTGTGTGTAAGGGTGGCACTAAAATCATGTCATTCGCAATATTTTTAAATAGACAAAGCCACATTTAAATAGTCATTTAACAAATAATACATTTACTTAAAAGAATTCAAAAGTCTCCTTGATACCCAAATAGCTAATAAGGGTATGAAGCAAGTGTCCAATCTACTCCATCATCAGAAAAATGCATATTGAGTCATCATGAAATGCCACCACACGCAGGCTCATGGGCCTCATAGTAATGACAATACCAAGTGCTGACAAAGATATGGGGCAACTTGCAACATGCCTGCATCAGTGGAAACATAAGGAGTATAATTTCTTTAAAAACATTTTGGTATTGTAGTACGTTGTTGTAAGGGTCAACACGCCTATCTCTAGGTCTGTACCCAACAGGTAGTTATCTATGCATCCATCCATCCATCTCTCCATTTATCTTCCATCCATCCATCCATCCATCCATCCATCCATCCATCCATCCAGCCATCATTAATCTATGACCTATTTATCATCCATCCATCTATAATCTGTCTATCTATGCATGTATCTATCTATCTATGTATCTGTCTACCTACAATATGGTATGGCTAAGGATATTCACAGAGCATTACTTACAACAGCCAAGTGTCCATTAGTAGCAATCCCAGTATCCATCCGATGAGTAAGCATGATATATTCACACAACGGCAAACTATTCACAAGGAAAATGAATGCCACAATGCGCAAGAATCTCAGCAATAAGATGTTGATGTAGATATATATGTATACTTATATCTATAATACATACATGTTTCTACTTATTCACAGTTCAAAAAATAGAAGAAAAACTAAACTAGTATTTAGGAATTCATATTTAGGTAGTAAAATTATCAATGGCCAGAACACAAATTTCCTTATAATTTTAATTATTGGGGTTTAATGAGGTATTTCTTCCAACACGTCCAAATGGCCCCTTTTGATCTGGAGGGTGGTTTTTGTTTTTTGTTTTTGTATATGGGGAGTTTGTGATTTCTAGTTTCAACTGCTTCAAATTGAGCAGCAACTTCTGATATCAGTGAAACAATCTGGGTGGAGAATCTCAGATTTTTACTATTTTCCCAAGTTTTTAAAGTAAAATTTCCTCCCACTTGTAACACTTTTTAGCCTCAGACTTTCTGCAGGCCCTTCTAGAGTGTTCCTCCCAAGTCCCATAAAACAGCCCTCTCTCTGTGCTCATTTGGTTTCCAGACTTTTCATCCTATTAAATGATGACATTGACTGGCCTCTATGTCATCAATGAGTTGGGGGTCATTCCAGCTAATATGTTCCTCTGTGGGGCAGACATATTCCTCTGAGAATCCAACCAGCAGTGAGTGATCCGGGTATAAAGGGCTGGTCGGTATCATCCATAGGGATAAAGGACCGGCCTGCTAATCTGGGCTGTCATGTGGCTAAGACTCAATTGAGAGTTTTTCTGCCTGAAAGGACAGCATATGCAAAAGTCCTGAGGCAGACAGAGTCTTGGAGGGGACAAAGGACAGGAAGACCTGGACTCGGAAGTGTAGTGAACAGGGTAGGGACGGAGAGGCGGTAGGAAGAGGTGGGACAGCCTAGAGTTAGTGCCTGGGACTGAGTTAAGGATTTTACCCTGAAAATAGTTGGAACAGGGTCTCCCTGGTGGCGCAGGCAATTGAGCGCCACTTTTTGAAGCTGTCTGCAGCCTCTGCAGCGCGGGTTCCATCTCGGCCAGCGGGCAAGAATCCCACATGGCGCAGCAGACCTCTCCTGTCTCGCCCGCTGCTCCCCTCAGCAGTGTATTTCGTCAGTCTGCCTGTTCTGTTCCCTGCTCTGTCTCTGGTGAATCCTCTCACCCTCCTGCGCATCTGGCCTGTACCCTGGTTCTTGTATAAATAAATAAAAAAAACTTTAAAAAATAGTGGGAACAGAAGCTAGTTTGAAGCTAGGAAGACAGATGAGGAAGGACTCCTGTGTGTGTGATAACGATCCACCTTCCTCCCTGATAAAATCGTTCAGGAATCTCAACAAGGAGAAGCGACAGTGGATCTTGAGAGACAAAGAGAAAGGTGGTTTCATATCTTCATTTCAAAGGGTTGACTGGTGTGTGTGTGTGTGTGTGTGCGTGTGTACGCACATGTGTGTTTAGACCCCAGGGAATCTAAACAGTAGGAATGTGAGTGTTTACAAATGTGTGTGTCCCTGCTCATATAATAAAACAGGGTTCAATTATGTTAATGGATCTGAAATTGGTCACCCCCAAAAGTAGTGGGCAGCAGAAGCCCTAGGTTGGGCAAGATGAGGGGTTCAGTGGCTCTGTGGAGTGGGGAGCTATTGAGAAAGCTGTGTCCTCACCTCCCATCCCACTAAGTAGCCCCAGGAAACCCATTCCCCATGCAGAGGGGGGTAGGGAGACCAGAAGCACAATGCTCTCAAAGTTTGGAGGTACAGAGACAACAGGGACAGCATCTAGCTCCCTCTCAGTTCTGTGCCTACCACCTTGAGTCTCCAGAGGCCCCTTGGCCAGACCTCTGCTCACCTTCCAGCCACTGAGGGTGGCTGTGCTGACGTTTCCTGAGAGGGGCCAGGGAGCCTCAGAGCTGACTTTCCCCTCATTGTTCTCTGGCATCTCAGCCCCAGGTGCACCATCCCTGGCACAGCTGCTCACAGGTGAACCCAGTGCCACCTCCAACCATATGCCAATTACCTAGGAACTTTGGGTGGGACCAGGAGCTGGAGACCCCATGTGACAGCCGAGGGAGAAGGCAGGAGCAGCTGCATGGGGAACCCCAGGGCCTGCAGTGGCCCGTGCCCCCCACAAGGATCTCAGTCTGCCTGGTGTGTGGGCACCGGGAGTGGGCACACTGACTGGCAGTTGGAGAGCTGAGAACGGAAATATCCTGCGGCGGCCGCTGGCACCCGCGATGGGCAGGAGTGATTTACAGAGATGGGGAGAGGCCACTTGGCTGGCCCCAAATTTGATCTACTTTTCCCTCTCATAAATCCAGCACTCACATAAATCTCTGTGCTCTCCCGTCCCACCCATGCGGGTTCCTTTTCTTCCCCTGCTTGTTTTTCACGACAATAAATAAATCTCTGACTGTCCCGCTACCCCCGCCCAGCATCTCAGGGCTGGGCCGCCGTGGGGCTGCCTCCCCACCCTAGCAGGCGCCTCCCACACCCCTTTGCAGGGGTGTTGGTCCCAGAAGGTGGGCGCATGGGGCTGCAGACCATTGGTGGCTGCAGTGCCATTGGTGGGTGGCTTCCTGGGGAGCGTGATTGCACCCTGGGGTCTTTAAGCCCCAGATAAAAGCTTATTCATTGGGAGCCAGCCATGTCTTCATCCCGGGAACAGCCTTCTTGCCAGGAGGGGAGCGCACGGCCCCTCCCCGGCGCCGCTAAAACCCAGTGTCCTGTGTTGCTCCCAGGCCCTGAAGGACCCCACCCTGGCCGCCCGGAAGGATTTCCAGAGGGAGGCTGAGCTGCTCACCAACCTGCAGCACGAGCACATCGTCAAGTTCTACGGGGTGTGCGGCGATGGGGACCCCCTCATCATGGTGTTCGAGTACATGAAGCACGGGGACCTGAACAAGTTCCTCAGGTAAGCGGGGACCGTCATCTGCACCCCACTCCCCACCTTGCCCTGCTGCCTCGCCCTGAGGTTCTCACTGGAGCCAGAAACACGATGCCTCTGGACCCTGCGGTTCAGGGAAGCAAGCTTTGTTCTTCCCCATCACACCCTGAGCGGCTGGACGCAGGCCTTTGCTGCTGGTTCTGTGGGGGACGTGGCGATGGTGGGGGAGTAACCTGTGCTCTTCCTCCTGAGGCCGAGGTGGGCTGAGAGCAGGAGCAGGGGCTGGGCGGGGTCCAAGCGGGAGCCCAGGGGCCCTGCCAACCCATCTCGTCCATCTCTAAGGTTCGGGTCCAGCCCGCCGGGCGGTGGCAACTAGCTGGGTGCCTTGGGCTCTCAGTGCTGGGAAGCGAGTCTGGTACCTTGCATCCTCCCACGGGCCTCGCCAGAGACTTTTTAATGATGAATAAAATGTCTCAAGGCTGTAAATTCATCAGAGGCAGAGATGGATAAAAAGAAATGAGCAGATTTCCCTCAGGTAAATTTGAATCATGCTGTCCGGTACAGTAGCTGCGTGTGGCTACTTGAATTTTAATGGACAGGAATTAAAAATGTAAAAGCTCAGTCCTTGATTGCAGAGGGCTCCGTAGCCACGTGCGGCGAGTGGCCACCCTGAGGCAGTGAAGGATTGAACATTCCTGTCCCTAGAAAGTTCTAGTGGATAGCACTGCTCTAGCGTGGTGGGGTACACTTGCAAGGACTCCCCTAAGTCTGGAGCCCGAGCGCCTGGAGTTTGAGAGGCTCTCGTGGAAGTGGCAGGAGACTGCAGGATTGACTCCCCATAGGAGACCCCATCTCATCCGAGAGTGGTGCCTGGATGTGGCGGGGCAGCCACGCCCCCAGGCTGTGGGCTTGAGCATCCAGGGAGCACGTTGGGCTCTGGGGCCCCGCATGCTTGTGGTGTGGTCTCTCCAACCCCCTACCCTGAATCCCACTGAATTCCACAGCTAAGAGAGTCCTAGAATTCATATGTAGTCATGGAAGACCCTCACCTCTGCCCCCAAACTGGCGAGGGTCCCCCTGAAGATGGGGCCTTCAGTAGAGGTCTGAGGTTTAGAGGGGGTCGGAAGGGCTGGTGGGAGACACGGGTCAGAAGCATCTTTGAGTTACGCCTGTGAGCTGGGCTGTGAAAAATGGCCCGAGAGGAATCAAATGAATCTCTAGCATGTTCTGAGCCTCGTGACCTTGGCCTCACATGCCCTTCCTGCCTTGCCTGTAGACTGGCCCTTATCATAGGACAGACTTGGGCTCAGCTCTTTGTCATGTCTTAGTGATACCCCTGGAGCAAGGTCTTTGACTTCAGTTTTGTCTCCCCCAAAACAATAACCTCACTCAGGGCTTCACCGGCTGTTCTGAGTACGACGTGACGATATTCGCACCTAGGTGAGTTCCACGTAGCTGGGCGCTCAGTCAGCGGTGATGCGCATTATTGCAGGTGTCACTTATTTCATCAGGAGCAGGGAAGCAGATAGTTTCTAATTCAGGCGACACCCTTCTCAGTGACCAGGCTGTTCCTCTCCCTGGTTTTTGCTCCTCTGGGGTCAGAGGGACACACTCCCTCTCCCATCACACCCCCATGGACCAAGCGGGCCTTCGATCCCAGTGGCACCAACAGGACTAAACCGGTGTCTGCCTGTGCTGCTATCAGGCCCGGTATCGCGCCAGGCCACGTCCACCCGACGTCCCTTGGCTGGCGATTTCAGGGGTGGGCTGCAGTGACTTTCCTGGTGGACAGGAGTGAGACCGGCCCACTGCCCCCCTTCCTTGCCTGCCGTGGCAGTCACTCTCCTTCGGGCACGGAGGGCAGAGCCCACAGGAGATAATAAAATGAACGTGTCCGTATTTAACGGTGCCTTTCAGTGGAAATTGGAGAAGCAGTAAAACAGGCTGGGCCTTGCTGCACACCAGGTCTCTGTGGCCGAGACTTCATAAATAAGAGCCCTGGGCGTGGCTCTGGCTCACTGGGCCTTTTGCAGGAAAAAGGGGATGCCGTAAGTGACGGATATGACCGGCACGGTGTTAGGGTAACAAATCTGAGCTGGCTTTGGAGTGGAGGGGGAACTGGGTCTCCCCAGGATGCTGCCTTAGGGTCACATCTGGCCCTGCCCCCAACAGAAGCCACTCACGCTCAGTGGTGTGCAGGGGCGCTTAGGAGGGTGCCCTCTGGCCCAGGTCGGAGGCTCAGGGCCAGGAGCCATCAGAAAGGCCGTGACCCAGCCCTCCCCACCAATCAGAAGCCTGGGGCCGGGGCCTCCGGGCCTGTGTGCCCAGCCTCTCCATGTGCCTTCAAGTTCAAAGCTCTCTCCAGCCACATGTCTGCTTTCAGCTTCCTCCTAAATCACCCAGTGGCCACTCTGGGACCTCTGGGACTTTGGCCATTATGTGCCTCAGTTTCCTCATCTGAAAATTGGGGTGGGGGAGGCCTAAGTGAATTAACATATTTCAGACACTCAGAAACATATTTACATATTAACATATTTCAGACACCCATTCTTGGAGCACATGAGAGCCATGTTGGGTTGCTGCTCATGAATTATTCTGTGGTGGACATCGGGGATCTAGGAACCCACTGGAGAGCAGTAAAACATTAAAAAGAGTAGGTTTACCCATGATCCTTTGGAGCACACCTGGATTTACACCTCTGCCTTCCCTGGGAACCGAGGCATCACCTGCACCCACACTCGCAGGTGACAGAGCTAGGCCAGGTGGGTGAGAAGGGAGGCTGTGTTCCTTTCTGCGGTGCATTCCCGAGGCCACACACCCCGAACAGCCTCTCCTGGTCCCCTGAGTCGTCTCTGCCCCCTCTCTCCTCCCCGCCCCCGCAGGGCCCACGGGCCGGACGCCATGATCCTCGTGGACGGGCAGCCACGCCAGGCGAAAGGCGAGCTGGGGCTCTCCCAAATGCTCCACATCGCCAGCCAGATTGCCTCGGGCATGGTGTACCTGGCCTCTCAGCACTTCGTGCACCGAGACCTGGCCACTAGGAACTGCCTGGTGGGGGCCAACCTGCTGGTGAAGATCGGGGACTTCGGCATGTCCAGGGACGTCTACAGCACCGACTACTACAGGGTAAGGGGCTGTGCAGGCGGCAGGACTCGAGGCAGAGCTAACCCTGCTCACGTGTCTTTGTCATTGTCCATGAGCCCTGTCACCCTGGAGCACACGCACATGCCCATGGCCACACGCACACCCGATGGCCTTGCTGGCCACTTGCACCTTGGCACACCTGTCTATTAATCTCTGCTTCACTCCACTCTGCCCTTTGGACATCTGACTGAGCCGTAGCCTCACATGGCAGTAACAGGGACGCACTGGGTCCTGCTTGTACCAACGCCCATTCTTCATGCAAACGCGTGTCCGCGTGTGTGTGTGTGCGTGTGTGTGTGCACGTGTGTGTGTGCGCGCCCAAATGCACACCGACAAGCTCAACTTGGTGCTGGACTTCCCCCTCTTCCAACTCAGTGCCCAGTCCAGCCCCACCCCCCATACACGCTATTCTCTGAAATGATCTGGTGTCCCCGCAGGATTGTCTTGTCTTCAGAGGTAGACCCGGATGAGAAACCCGAAGTAGCAAAACACGGTTACCATATTGTCGAGAGGAGGGAAGCGAGCGTATCCTCCCTGTCACGGTGGGACACAGGTGCAGGGGCTCTAGGAGAAGCCGAGAGGTTGTCAGGGGAGACAGGCTGTCCAGGCGGAGGTGGCTCGGTCAAGTTTCCTTCTATCTGGTCGTCCACTCCTCAACAGGTGTCTGATTTTGCTCCCAGAATTGATTTTGCCCTCAGTCACTGAGAACCCCTTTCCTGTGGGTCTTGGAGCGGTTCTGAGAGTGTCGTGATCAGAGACTGGATGACAGCCATTTATCCCCCAAGGGGGAAGTCTGGTGTGACCTCAGGTGCTGAGACTGAGACGGGCTAACTTCTGCCAGCTTATCGGGAGGCAGACGCCTCAGAGAGAGGGAAGATGGACTTTGGAATGTGGAATCGAGAGGTGGAGGGGTGGGGGAGCGTATTCTGGAGACTGAGGGGCATGTGGCCTTGTCCTCACCTTCTTTGTAGGAAACAAGTGATCAAGGGCCGGGCATGGCCATCCTGCTGGCCTGAGCACAGTGGACCCAGAGGCAGGAGCTGGGCTGGACCCCTGCAGGTTGGTTCTGTCCGGCTGCTCCTGTTGGCTTCACGGGAGGAGGCATCAGCTGGCCACTCTAGACCCTTCATTCTCGAGAACAATGGATTGAGAAATGCCCTGTGTGGCTCGAAAGCAACTTACTCATGGTATCACCCAAAGACAGTGGATGATAAGTTATCAGGAGGGCAGATGAGGCAAATAGACCAGGCCAGTGGGGTGTGCTGGGAGGGCATCTGCATGAGGTGGGTGCTTTCTCTAGCCTCTGCCTATCCAGGTCCCCAGAGATGAGAAAGGAGCACAAGGCAGCAGTAGGCACGGCCAGGTGACCAGGACAGACCTGCCAGGGAGAACAAAGTGCGGTGGGCTTAGCATCTAGATCCACGTTTCCAGGCCCTTCCACGAGCGTGGCGCGTGGCTGCTGGGGCTGCGGGGATTCGAGCGCACCCTCTAGCCGGAGCAGCCCCGTGTGATTCCTCTGACGCCGCATGGCGGGTTCGCTGGGCCGTGTGCCCAGCTCAGGTGCGTGCTGACTACAGCAAGGACCGCTGCTCCTCCCAGGGGCGGACACAGATGGTGCCGCGTCTCCACCGACCCGCCTGGGTCTTGGGAAACAGCGTCTGGCCAGAGTGTGGGTGGCCTCAGTTGGCAAACTCGCTTTGAGGGGGGCACTTAATAGCTCTGGCTTCCGGTTGTGCCATCGCTGTAAGCACTGGGCGCTGCGGCTCTGCACTCCGGGGAGCTCCGAGGAGCCTCATTTCTGCAGGCACGGGACAGCTGGAGTTTAAGGAGGGCAGAGTGAGGCAGGGGGTGCACTCGCTGGGTGGCCCCAGCTGCATTTTCATGAATTCCAAGCTAGGTAGAAGCGGAGACCATGCGACTTGACATGCATGTCTTTGATCCCAAGGGAGTTTCCATAAAGAAGGGGACCTATGGAGCAAAAGCACAAGCCCTGGGGACGTGTCGCCTGTGGGTGGTGGGTACTCCAGTCTCCATGTTCAAAGGGCAGCTTCCCTGTCTTCAGGGCCCTAAGGCACGCCCTGTTTCTCCTCCCCACTCTTTGTAAAACAAAAGGAAAAGCAGATTTGCCTGAAACTTGAGGTCTTGTTTTTTGTTTGGGAAGAAGCAGGGGACAGTCCCAGAGCTGGAGGTAACCTCTCCAAGCACTCAGCTCACATCCTAACACTGGTGGCCGGGGCACCCCAGCGCCCAGTCCCTAGCCCTACTCAATTTTCCCATTTTTTTTAAGATTTATTTATTTATGCATACAAGAGCTGGGGTACAGGCCAGAGGTGTGGGGGGTGAGAGGATTCACCAGAGACAGAGTGGGGAGCAGAACAGGCAGACTGACTGAAATACACTGCTGAGGGGAGCAGTGGGGAGACAGGAGAGGTCTGCTGCGCCACGTGGGCAGCTCCCTGGCGGGGGATCGAACTCAGGCCGCAGTGGCTGGCGATCGCTTGATAGCGCTGTGTCTTTAATCCCTGCGCCATCAGGGAGGCCCGATTTTCCCATTTTTAAAGGGAGAATGACTATAGTCACCCAACAGAGTTACTTTGGTGTAAAACGAGTGAATTTGTAGCAAGAACCTGAAGACACTACTTATGAGAAAAACTATCACTTATATTGTCTTGTGTGGGCCCCTCCCAAGGCAAAAAACTCAATAATCTTACGTCCACGTAATGTAATTCTTGGGTGGGCGAGAGGGTTTGCTGACACTGGACAGTTACCTGGAATCCTGCAGCTGCCCCAAAGGGGCAAGCCTCTGAGTTGGCCACCTCTGGAAATTTCATTCCCGAAGTTTCAACTTCAAAATATGAGGGCTTGGTCCTCGCCTAGTCTTCAGGCCCGTGTTCATCTGGACCTGCCTGTGTATCTTAGAGTGAGGTCTCTGTTCGGGTGATTTATGGAAGGTGTCTGTGCATGCATGCATGTGTGTGTGTGTGTGTGTGTGTTTGCTAAATGCCAGCTGAGGCCCTGGGGGAATGCAGTGATTTATCAGGTAGCAAGAATATTGAAGGAGTCTCCCTGCAACTGATACCCCAAGATAGGCTGCCCCCCTGTGCTCCATGGCTTACTGAAATCTGCTGGGCCTAGGAGTGTGCCGGCTTCTTATGCCTGATGCAGTGAAATGCAGATAATTGGGGCGTGTGTGTGTGTGTGTGTGTGTGTTCACCCGCTCAGCGCTGATTCCAAAGTGTGCATGCAAGGGCAGGGGAGGAAGTGGAGATAAGCTCCTGCTTATATAGTCTTTCTGTTTCATTTTTAATTTCTTGGAACAAAGAGGCACCATCTGGCTTCCGCAGAGTGGTATGCAAACGGTTTACAAAGGTGAACCGCCTAATTTCCTGTTACCTATTTAGAGAGAGAAAACAAACATGTCTGCACTGGAGGGCCAGAGTCATTCGTTGTCTCTGCTTGAGACAATGCCAGTGACAGGCGCCTTTCTTTTCTCCTTATGCGTCATTGACTGGACCCTCTTGCCAGCGCCCGCACGCCCGCCTTGACAAGGGGGTAGCGCAGGTGCCATCGCTGGGACCATTATCCTTTTCTCAGAACATCACACGACACTAAGATACACTAGAGGTCAAGTCTAGAATTTTTTAGAAAGTGTCGTGGTTCCTACAGAGGAGGAGGTTGGGGTTCCAGAATAGAAATGCCTTCAGGTGTTTTGACTTGGAGGGGAGCTGGTGTGTGGGGATTCCGGACGGATGGGGTTGGGAGGGGAGACATCTGATCCTGTGCTCTCAGAGCCTCGGGAGCCTGCCTGCCTCCTCGCCCCGCTGCCCCTGCTCCCCGACAGTGCCCGGACTTGGTGGGCACCCAGTAAAAAAAGAAAAAGAATGAACAATGAGTGAAGTCAGCATGGGGATTCACAGGGAAGCAGGAAGCGGATCAGACCAGATCAGGGGGATCCTGGCCAGGCGACCACTCTGGTTGCAAGGGGAGGGGCAGAGGATGTGAGGGATCCGCTATCTGAGGAAGTAGAAGCTGAATCTGGGGACACCGTCTAGGGGGCAGAAGTGCACAGATGCGCTTCAAGCAGGGGCGGTCCTGGTGGGAGATGAGCTGAGTGTCCAGGAGATGGGGAGGAAAAGCACCCCCAAATCCAGACGGACCCACATATGGGGGAAATTAGGCAGCTCTGGCAGCTGAGAGCAAGGCCCAGATGTCTGGAGCCCCCCTGGAAAGCACGATAGCAGTCCCCCTTGGGGTGTGGGAGTCATTTAGAAAACATCCATCCGGAGGGTAGAATATTTGATTTTATGGATGTCACGGTGCCCCCCACGGCAGTGACGAGAAGCTCAGGCTCTTGGACCCGGTGTTGCTTGGGTTCTAATCTCAGCTCCTGTGATTCTGAATCCGGCCTTGGGCGAGTTACTTAACCTTTCTTTGCCCCAACTAGAATGTGGGGCTAACAGCCCCTGTCGAATGCATTTGCTATGAGGATTAGGAGTTACTAAGTACGAAGCTTTGAAGACGGTGAATGCTAACGACGTGTTACTGCTACTCTTACTGAAGCTGAGATACGAGTGTCTGTCCCTCTCCAAAGTGAGTGTTCTGAAGAAGGCCCGCCTACGTGCCTGCATGACGGCGGGCCAGCTGCTGTGACAAGCAGATGCACGGATATGCAGCGGCTCCCAGGGCAAGAGCAGCTTATTTCCAGGCCGCCGAACAGTGTGAGCAAGTGAGCTGGTGGTGCAGCCACCTGCCTGCCCCTGGCCATCACCCAGGGGGAGGCCGCCCCTTCCTCGTGTGATGTCCCTGGTACCCTATGGAGGGACGCGTGTGGCTGATAGGCCTGGCCTGCGGGGGGCCCATCACGTCACGTCACTATGTGTAAGGGAGGCTGAGCAGTGGCGGGGTGCAGCGCCCCTAGTAGAAGAGAAGAGAGCAGATTCAAATGGGCAGCTGGCGATTCCTGCCAAGGGGTGAAGGAGGCC